TCATTGCTAATAAGTTTATCTTCCTACTTATGAAAGTCAAAACATTAAGCACATTAAGACCTTTAAATGAAGCTCATTTTGCATGTAAATTTTGATCTTTTCTTTTCTCTCCCTAATTTTGAGCAAACATTTTTCACATTTTTAAATATTTTTAAAAATCATCAATTTTTTATATCTTAAGTGCAGATCCTTCTTCATTAAGTGACTAAGATGACCCCCTTTAGCGAACTTTAGGCCATTTAACCTAAGTCAGTTGACCATAGACACTAGATTTTGAGACACCCAGCAAACTTAATTATTCGAGTCAATTAGGCTCTGAAGAAGAACATACGATGTTGAGCTTTTTATTTTGAGGGAATATACTTAAGTTTAGTTCTAACAAATTTGGTCAATTCATGTTCAAAGTCACCTTACAAACAAGTGACTACCATCCTAAATCTTGTACACACGGTTAAGTCTCACTTACAATATCATAGTGTGTGTAGTGCAGATGGTACATGATGACACATATACTAAGTACTCCATAATAACCTAAGCAAGTAATGAACAATGTGCTATAGCTCATCAATTTAGCCCATACATGGTCACAACACACAAGTTCAAGAATGTTACATCTCATGCTATAGAAAAAATTCCATTCCTTATTTATTTTTATTTTTTTGTATTTTTCATTTTTCATTTTTTTTATTTAAAAACATGAAAGCTCGAAGCACACACAAAAAAAAAAATCACATACAAAACAAACAACATGTGCATGTGCTAATGCAAACAGAATGAGGATACACATACAAGAAACAACTACATAAAAAGCAAACAAACAGATTAGATATATGCACCAATCAATCACTCAAGTAACAAATCATAGGCATGCACCAAAATTACCTAATCAGTTAGGTAAAGACATTCTCTTACCTTTAAAAGTATCATGATCTATTTCAGAATTTTTTAGATCACTTTTTTTTTTCACACAAATCTGCCTAGTGGGAGAATAATTCCCAGACAACAGTGTCACCAACTTGGTCATTCGACTTACGTGATCGGTAAGGAATCCAATCTGACTTATAAACTCCTGATTTTTATTCCTATTGAAGCTCTTGTTTCAATATTTATTCAAGAATTGATGACACCTAGGGCATATGTGTCCTAACTCACCATAGTGAAAGCATGTAGGGATAAACCTGGACCAATGTTGTGTGATCATTGTCTTCTATTCCTAGGCCAACGGGTCATATGTTGTCTAGTAGTCTGCTATCCTATAGATCCCTTATTCTTAGGTTGTGGGTTAGGCAAATGTTTAGGTTGGTTAGTGACAAGGATAAAAGTGGTCTTTGTAGTACTAGTTGTATTCTCTTTAAAGCCTAGACCTCCCTTATTACCGGTCGGCTTGCTCATTTCTAGAATGTTATCTAACTTTTTAGATCCACTAGAAAAGGCAATAAGTTGAGACTTAGAATATTTTAGATCGCTCAAAAGATTTTTAATCTGGATTTCTGAAATTTCATTCTCAGAGGTCAACTCACTGACTTTCTTAAATGACTTCTCAAGCGCACTAGTGAGATTCTTAACTTTAGTATCTAAAGATTCAATCATCGATTTCAATTCACTCTGGGTTGAGGTAGACTCCTGGATATACTTTAAAAGCTTCTCTTTCTCCAATTTAAGCTTATTTACCTTTGAATTTAAGGCTTTATTAGTCACAAGAATCTTTAGACTCTCCTCATACATTTTATTGTAAGTCTCATAAATATCTTCCTCACTCTCAGAATCTTCTCTAGAATTCTCACTACTATCTATGTCCTCATCAGTCTCACTTCTCTTGATAGATCCACTCCTAGTCCTAGTAGTAAAGGCAATGTGTTTTCCATTTTCCTCACGATTGGACTTCTCACTTTGATTATCCGAGCTAGACTCATCATCGTAAGAATCTTAAGACTCTCCTCATACATTTTATCGTAAGTCTTATGGATATTTTCCCCACTCTCAGAATCTTGGCCAAAATGCTCACCACTATCTATGGTCTCATCCGTCTCACTTCTCTTGTCTAATCCACTTCTAGTCCTAGTAGTAAAGGCAACGTATTTTTCACTTTCCTTACGACTGGACTTCTCACACTGATTATCCGAGCTAGACTCATCATCGGTGAGAGTAAAATTCATAGCCTCATCCTGATTTCTACTGCTAGCAAAGTTCCCATTGCTTCTATGCCCATAACCGTGAAACTTGTGATACCTCACAGTTTTAGATTTATGTCTACATTCACGAGGAGCATCTCTATATTTCTTTTGAGACTTCTTCTTCTTCCTAAACATTTTACGAAATTTTTTAGCAAGGTAGGTTAACTTCTCCTCATTTGGTGAACCTGAGTAAAAAATTCCATCATGTTAACCCCGAGCAGTTTTTAGGGCCACAGACTTATCTTTTATAGGTTTATCTAAGGCCAGCTTATAAGTCTGGAGAGATCCAACAAATTCTTCCACCTTAATAGAGTCTAAATCCTTACCATCCTCTATCATTGTAACTTTAGGCCTAAATTGCTCAGGTAAGGATCTAATGACTTTTCTAACTATTTTGGACTTGGGGATTCTCTCACCTAGGTTGAAGTTAGAATTTACTATGTCATTTAAGCTTGCATAAAAGACATCAAATGTCTCATCATCTCTCATTCTAAACTCCTCATACCTAATGGCCAGTATCTGCAACTTAGAATTTTTAATGGCTGTAGTTTGTAATATATCCCAAACATCTTTCGCAACCTCGTACATAGATATTCGCCTAAACTCTTTAGGAAAATAGCCATAAATAATGCATGTAAGGCTTTACTATTCCAGTTGCACTTATCTATGTTAGATTTCAACCAATTAGCAATTGGAGTGGGGGTGACAACACCATTAACAGTGCTAGGGAGCAAACCAACCATTCTGAATGCTCAACTATATACGCTCATCCATCGACTTAATGAAAGCTCTCATCCTAACCTTCCAGTATGTATAATTACTGCCATCAGAATAAGGCGGGACACATAATGAGTTATTCATCTAGACAAATTAAGGTCAGGACATGTCTTTAGGCTCTGATACCACTTGAGAAATCTGCAGAATGCTAAGTTACCACTTGTGAAATAGCGAAACGATCTAGCTTATCAAATTACAAGTTCTAGATTATTTATTAATTCAACCTCAAGTGCGGAATTAATCTATTAAAGGCAATAAATCACTTTTTAATAGTTTTCTGATGATTAAGCATACAAGTTCAATTCCCTATGTTTGAATGCTGCAGTTTATAATATGGAAACAATAAATAACCCAATATTGTTGACGAAGAAATGTAACTGGGTAAAAACTTTGAGATCAAGCCAATTACCTCCACTATAGATAGTAAATGGTACGGTTAGATGCTGTTTAGCCAACTTCACTAGACTTCTCGATCTACTTCCTGTAATCTCCAAGATACTCATATCTCCTCCAGCTTTCCGATCTTGTACAATTGTCTCTTCCAAGCGGATATCTAAGGATCATCAATTCTTGTTCTTATTCCTGTGCTTGTAGTCCAACTTTCCTCAATTTTCAACAGCATCTGAAGTTTCAATTGAGAAAGTACATCCCTTGTTGTACATATGAAATGGATGTTTTGGATTCAAGGATTTGATTTTTTCCCAAATATGTGGTTGTAGGATTTCA